ATGTTTGTTGCAAGCAAATATGAAGAAATGTACCCTCCAGAAATTGTGACTTTGCTTTTGTGACTGACAACACTTACACTAAGCACCAAATCAGACAGATGGAAATGAAGATTTTAAGAGCTTTAAACTTCAGTCTGGGCCGGCCTCTACCCCTGCACTTCCTCCGGAGAGCATCCAAGATTGGAGAGGTTGATGTTGAGCAACATACTTTGGCCAAATACCTGATGGAACTGACTATGTTGGACTACGAGATGGTGCACTTTGCTCCTTCTCAAATTGCAGCAGGAGCTTTTTGCTTAGCATTGAAGATTTTGGATAATGGTGAATGGACACCAACTCTACAGCATTACTTAGCATACTCTGAAGAATCCCTTCTTCCTGTTATGCAGCACCTGGCTAAGAATATGGTCATGGTAAATCAAGGGCTTACAAAGCACATGACTATCAAGAACAAGTATGCCACGCCTAAGCATGCTAAGATCAGCACTGTAGCACAGCTGAATTCTGCATTAGTTCAAGATTTAGCCAAGGCTGTGGCAAAGGTATAACTTGTAACCTTGAGTACTGCAAATATCTGCAAATAAAACTGGCACCATGTGCCATCTGTACAAAAAAAAAAAAATCGTGAAAAAGAAGAACAAAGTTGGAGCATCACACTATTTGATTTCAAAACTTACTACAGACCTAGTGGGCAAGACAGTGTAGTACTGGCATACATCAATGGACTAGAATGGAGTCTAGAAATCAACACTAACATTTATGATCAATTGATTTTCAAATAAAGTGTCAATTCAGCGGGGGAAAGAATAGTTTTTTCAGGCCAGGTGTGGTGGCTTATGCCTACAATCCCAGCACTTTAGGAAGCTGAGGTATGAGGTTCACTTGAGCCCAGAAGTTTGAGACCAGCCTGGGCAATAGTGAGACCCTGTCTCTACAAGAAAAATACCTGAGCTTGGTGATATGCACCTGTAGTCCCAGACACTCAGGGGGCAAATGCAGGAGAATTGCTTGAGCCCAGGAATTTGAGATTGCACTGAACTATGTTGATGGAACTACATCAAAAAACACACAGGCTGGGGGCGGAGCCGGTGGCTCAAGGAGTAGGACGCTGGCTCCATATATCGGAGGTAGTGGGTTCAAAACCCAGCCCCAGCCAAAAACTGCAAAACACAACCACCCCTCCCAAAAAAAGAACCCAAACAGGCTGGGTGTCTGTAGCTCAGTGGTTAGGGCCCCAGCCAGATGCCCCAGGACTAGTGGGTTGGAACTTGGCCTGGGCCTGCTAAACAAACAAACAAAAAAATAGCTGGGTGGGTGCCTCTAGTCCCACCTACTTGGGAGGCTGAGGCAAGAGAATTGCTTGAGTCCAAGAGTTTGAGGTTGCTGTGAGCTATGATGCCACGGCACTGAGGGTGACAAAATGAGATTCTGTTTCAATAAAAAGAAAAAAAAATAGAAAAATCGAGGCAAGAGGATAGCTGGGACCCATGTTGGAGGTTGCTGTGGGCTATGACGCTAGGGCACTCTATCCAGTGTGACAGCTCAAGACTGTCTCAAACAAACAAACAAAAACAAGGAATAGTTCTTTTCAGACAAAATTGGGTATCAGGTGCATTCAGGACAGACAAGGATGGTCTTTTCAGCAAATGGTGCAAATGAAACTGTATATTCACATGAAGAAGAATGAGGTTGGATCCCTTCATCACCCCATATTAAAAAAAAAAAGTTGAAATAGATTATAGGCCTGAATGTCAGAGCTAAAACTGTAAAACTCTTAGAAGAGAAAATCTTAATGACCTTGGGTTAGAAAAAGGTTTCTTACTTATGCACCACGAGCACAACAATAAAAGAAAAAATATATAAATTTGACCTCATCAAAATTAAAAACTTTTGTGCTTCACAAGAAGGTAAGAAGAAAACCAACAGAATGGGATAAATATTTGCATATCATATATTTGAAAAGGGATTTGCATTCAGAATACATAAAGAATGAATACTTACAACTGAATATTGAAAAGACAAAATGGGTAAAGGATTTGAATAGACATTTCTCCAAAATAGTCATACAAATTGTCTTCTCTTTCTTTTTTTTT